TTAAATTTCTTTTTGAACGCACTATATTATATAGTAAAACAAAACAAAGCGTTGAAAAAGAAATTCGAAGCAAAACTTTAACCTTAAAAACTGTGAAAAATGATACGACCGAATTTCCGTTCGATCAAATTACCGTCGATCAATTTACCGTCGACGCAATTTCTTTCGATTAAATTTCCGGATACGCCTTAAACCTTTATCGTTAATAGAAGAGGCTGTTAAATTGATTTTAAGTATGTACATATTTTTGTTTTGTTTGGAATGTGACGTCTGCCACGTAGACCAGTGGTAAGAGTTATGCGCCATGAAACAAGTCAGAGCACTCTTGATCCTCCTTACTCAGTGACGCCATTTACAAGCACTTGTACGACTGGCTTCAAGGGGAAACAACTGAGACGTGGTAATGATGAGAGATCCGATTCATGAATTATTCCCAGCATTTTTAACCATGTCCATTTTTATGGGCTGTAGCCAGAGGCGGATTAGAGTAGGACCAGGGGCGTGGCATGCTTCCAGGATGGGATGTTTGTATGGGGAAGAGGATATTTCTATGTGACATAAATGATGATAAAATTTAACATAGATTGGCTTCAATGAATGCATTGATATGTTTCCCAGATTTCAATAATGTATGTGTGTTTAACCAAAATTGAAATAGAATTTAAAAAAAACAAAAAAACTATCATATTATTTATTTTGAAAAGCTTCCCCAAAAAATTGTTTGGTGTGGCATGAATTCAGGGTCCGCCTATGACGCTCCGGGTTCAGCTCCACACAACCTCTCGATTCAAAGTTATTTTCATAAACACACACACACAGAAACAGACACACACACACATACATACAGACGATAGGTCCACCTCCACGCACCAAAGAAAAAAAAAAGCAAGGCTACTCTCTGTCCAACTTGTGTAGCAAAGGACTTCTAAAGACAAAGGATGACATTTCGCCATTATTTATCCCCCCCCCCTTTTCTTCCCTCCCCTATCCCTCCCCATGCCCACCCAATGTTTATCGAACTAAATGTTATATCTTTAAAGTTAAGACACATATCGTGGATTTAAAATGCCACTGTGATATTTATTCACTAAAACTCCGGGGTTGGGCTAGAACAGCGGCTCTCCACCTTTGGGTCACGACCCCTTTGGGGTTCGAACGACCCTTACACAGGGGTCGCCTAAGACCAAAAAGAAAACACATATTTATGAAGTAGCAACGAAAATAATGTTATGGTTTGGGGTCACCCAAACACGGGCAACGGTATTAAAGGGTCGTGGCAGTAGGAAGGTGGAGAACCACTGGGCTAGAAGGCCACTGTGATTAGTTATACATCAAAAACTATGGGGGTGTGCTTGAAGATTTAAACAAGGAATTTCTACTACTTGCACAAGAGAGATAATCGGTTTACGGGGAGATCATTCAGTGCCGACTTATTAATCAGGAAATGACGTCAACGCAGGACTTGGGGAATCCAAGAGGAACTCATTTGTCTGGAGTGCAAATTAATTGCCAAAAAATTGATATTCATATTCTGGCATCGGATTCTTTGTTAGTCAGTCCCTATTAATGTGTTCTTGATAGTCAGTACCTATCAAGGTGTTCTTTGTTAGGCAGTCTCTATCAATGTGTTCTCGTTAGTCAGTCCCCCCCCCTATCAATGTGTTCTTTGATAGTCAGTCTCTGTCAATGTGTTCTTTGATCGTCAGTCTATGTCAGTGTGTTCTTTGATCGTCAGTCTAGATCTGGGGTCACTAAACTTCGGCCCGCCGACGGTACTTGAACTTGCTCCATAAAGCATATGGAACACGAGATGTTGTTGTACAATTTAAATTTAAATATTATGTTTAGAATATTAGGATCTCTTCACACGTGCGGAGGCCTCCTGGCTGCTACGCGACTTAATTTACTATTTTTAATTTTAACTTATTGTATCTTGATTTTTTGTTTATTACAGACCTCTTTACCCTCGAACTCCTAAAATCGTACAATACAGTATCTTATAGTAAATAAATAAATATACAGTATATAGAATGAATGCAATAACTACTCGCATCGCAGTGCCTGGTGGGAACGAGTTAAGCTGGCGTCAAAAAAAAAGTTAACTTCTAAAAGTAGATGACCGACGTTTATATTGCAATCTGAGGTCACTTTGTTTTACGGATGTGTATTTGCTATTGATATTAATTTATATTGAGTGGAGGTCCAGATCAGATTATCGCGGTCTATCAATGGTAAAAAAAAAAATAAAGTTACTGGTGAAATTTAACGTGGTTCAAACTTTAACTCAGATCAGCATAAAGCAATATGTATTTAAATAAGAATTATTTAACAAATGATGACATCATTTTAAAAAAAACAAACTACCAAGTAATCTGAGGTTGTTGTTTTTAGGAAAATCTGGTTTAAAAAATGTATAAAATAAGAATCAATTTCCATTAAGCATATTCCCACTAATATTTTATAGTCTGATAACTACATCAAACTGTAAATGGATGAAAGAAAGAGAAGTGTTGGAAAAATACCGGGACATTAAAAATCGAAGAATCGTAAGACTATGACTATGAGCCTTTCGGCAAGAATTGTGGTGCAGAGAGAACAGAATAATCTGGAGACAACATGGTGCTACAGAGACGTGAGAAAGCTGGGATCTTGATGTGGTATTCTCTGGCACTGGATCAGTCCACTGATCTCTCACAACTTCTCGTGTTTATTTGTGGTGTCAAGTTGGACGTTCAGATAACAAAAGAGTTGGCATCCGTTGGCAGCATGCATGGAACACCTTATGTCAGTGAGCAAACATTTTTAGAAATAAAGGATGTGAAGTCGACACATCGAACGAGAGGAATTAGTAAACAGTTGAAAATAATTCTTTTGATTGGATGCAGCAATTGCAAACCAAACATTGGTGATATCTTGAAAGCCAAACGCCAGTTTCACCAATCTTACTAGCCATTTTTTGCGGCTTAGTTTGTGAGTATGTGCGCACTGGGTCTGATGTAACAGTCTTTTTGCTAACGTCGCCTTCTTTGCTAACTTTATAGTAAATAAATTTGTTGGTTATATTCGCTTTTTTTACCTTGCACACCACCTACCCATGATTAACAGGGAATGGTAAACTTAGTTTTTCGTCTCCCCCCCCTCCCCCAAAGAGCTTTCGTTCTGGCTTGCAAGCATTGTACAGACGGATTATCCGGCCGGCGCTCGCCCTTTATTCCGTTATCCGACCCGCACTCATCACTTTTTCCGCTATCCGACCCGCACTCATCACTTTTTCCGCTATCCGTCCCGCTCTGAATAAAGTATGGTGACTCCTGGTCTAGAGTCATGTTTTCTTAGATTAGATGGAACTTCTCTGCATCTAGAAACATAAACAAGACATATGGATAAATGAAGCCACACACCCACAAACGGGGGCCCCGCACCCACAAACGGGGGCCCCGCACCCACAAACGGGGGCCCCGCACCCACAAAAGGGGGCCACACACCCACAAAAGGGGGCCACACACCCTAAAAAGGGGGCCACACACTAACAAAAGGGGGCAAAACACCCACAAAAGGGGGCCACACACCCCAAAAAGGGGGCCACACACCCACAAAAGGGGGCTACACACCAACAAAAGGGGGCCACACACCCACAAAAGGTGACCATACATCTAAAAAATGGAGCCACACACCCACTAAAGGGGGGGGGGGCA